GAAATGAACAATTTGACCCCAAGATTAAATAAAGTGTTCAGTCTAATTCCCCTTGGCTATTGATTGGTAAGGGTGAGAAATTGAGATATAAATAAGAACAATATGAGATATCCCTAGACATGGACTGTGGAACAAGAACAATTTGACCCCAGAGATTAAATAAAGAGTTCAGTTTGTAATTCCTTTCGGCTATTGATTGGTGGAAACAGGGTGAGAAATAACTGAGCAGTACTAAATAAGAACAATATGAGATATCCCTAGACATGGACTGTGGAACAAGAACAATTCGCCTCCCCAGAGATTAAATAAAAGAGTTCAGTTTGTAATTCCCTTGGCTATTGATTGGTGGAAACAGGGTGATAAAATAACTGAGCAGTACTAAATAAGAACAAGATGAGATATCCCTAGACATGGACTGTGGAACAAGGGAATTAAATAAAGAAGTTTGAAAATTCCCCTCAAAAATTGATTTTTTGGAAAATGAGCAAAAACTGAGCAGTACTAAATAAGAACAAGATGAGATATCCCTAGACATGGACTGTGGAACAAGAACAATTTGACCCCAGAGATTAAATAAAGAAGTTTGTAATTCTTGGCTATTGATTGGTGGAAACAGTACTAAGCAATAACAATGAGCAGACTATGGACTGTGGAACAAGAACAAAACCCCCAAGATTAAATGAGATATCCCTATTTGGTAGAAACATGGAAATAACTGAGCAGTACTAAATAAGAACAAGATGAGACATGGAATGTGGAACAAGAACAATTTGACCCCAGAGATTAAATAAAGAGTTCAGTTTGTAATTCCCCTCAGCTATTGATTTGGTGGAAACAGGGTGAGCAATAACTGAGCAGTACTAAATAAGAACAAGATGAGATATCCTAGACATGGACTGTGGAACAAGAACAATCTGACCCCCAGAGATTAAATAAAGAGTTCAGTTTGTAATTCCCTCGGCTATTGATTGGTGGAAACAGGGTGAGCAATAACTGAGCAGTACTAAATAAGAACAAGATGAGATATCCCTAGACATGGACTGTGGAACAAGAACAATTTGACCCCAGAGATTAAATAAAGAGTTCAGTTTGTAATTCCCCTCAGCTATTGATTTGGTGGAAACAGGGTGAGCAATAACTGAGCAGTACTAAATAAGAACAATATGAGATATCCTAGACATGGACTGTGGAACAAGAACAATCTTTTCCCCAGAGATTAAATAAAGAGTTCAGTTTTTAATTCCCTCGGCTATTGATTGGTGGAAACAGGGTGAGAAATAACTGAGCAGTACTAAATAAGAACAAGATGAGATATCCTTAGACATGGACTGTGGAACAATAACAATTTGACCCCCAGAGATTAAATAAAGAGTTCAGTTTGTAATTCCCCTAAATTGATTGGTGAAACAGGGTGAGAAATGGCAGTACTAAATAAGAACAATATGAGATATCCCTAGACATGGACTGTGGAACAAGAACAATTTGACCCCCAGTGATTAAATAAAGAGTTCAGTTTGTAATTCATTTTTTCGGTTTATTGATTGGTGGAAACAGGGTGAGAAATAACTGAGCAGTACTAAATAAGAATTTTTTGAAGATACAACATGGACTGTGGAACAAAAACAATTTGACCCCCAGAGATTAAATGAAAGTTCAGTTTGGAATTCCCTCGGCTATTGATTGGTGGAAACAGGGTGAGAAATGGACCAGTACTAAATAAGAACAATATGAGATATCCCTAGACATGGACTGTGGAACAAGAACAATTTGACCCCCAGAGATTAAATAAAGTGTTCAGTCTGTAATTCCCCTTGGCTATTGATTGGTGGAAACAGGGTGAGAAATAACTGAGCAGTACTAAATAAGAACAATATGAGATATCCCTAGACATGGACTGTGGAACAAGAACAATTTGACCCCCAGAGATTAAATAAAGAGTTCAGTTTGTAATTCCCCTCGGCTATTGATTGGTGGAAACAGGGTGAGAAATAACTGAGCAGTACTAAATAAGAACAATATGAGATATCCCTAGACATGGACTGTGGAACAAGAACAATTTGACCCCCAGAGATTAAATAAAGAGTTCAGTTTGTAATTCCCCTTGGCTATTGATTGGTGGAAACAGGGTGAGAAATAACTGAGCAGTACTAAATAAGAACAAGATGAGATATCCCTAGACATGGACTGTGGAACAAGGACAATCTGACCCCAGAGAGTTCATAATTTCCCTCAGCTATTGATTGGTGGAAACAGGGTGAGCAATAACTGAGCAGTACTAAATAAGAACAAGATGAGATATCCCTAGACATGGACTGTGGAACAAGAACAATTTGACCCCCAGAGATTAAATAAAGAGTTCAGTTTGTAATTCCCCTCAGCTATTGATTGGTGGAAACAGGGTGAGCAATAACTGAGCAGTACTAAATAAGAACAATATGAGATATCCCTAGACATGGACTGTGGAACAAGAACAATCTGACCCCCAGAGATTAAATAAAGAGTTCAGTTTGTAATTCCCCTCGGCTATTGATTGGTGGAAACAGGGTGAGAAATAACTGAGCAGTACTAAATAAGAACAACATGAGATATCCCTAGACATGGACTGTGGAACAAGAACAATCTGATCCCCAGAGATTAAATAAACAATTCAGTTTGTAATACCCCTCGGCTATTGATTGGTGGAAACAGGGTGAGCAATAACTGAGCAGTACTAAATAAGAACAAGATGAGATATCCCTAGACATGGACTGTGAAACAAGAACAATTTGACCCCCAGAGATTAAATAAAGAGTTCAGTTTGTAATTCCCCTCAGCTATTGATTGGTGGAAACAGGGTGAGCAATAACTGAGCAGTACTAAATAAGAACAATATGAGATATCCCTAGACATGGACTGTGGAACAAGAACAATCTGACCCCCAGAGATTTAAATAAAGATGTTCAGTTTGTAATCCCCTCGGCTATTGATTGGTGGAAACAGGGTGAGCAATAACTGAGCAGTACTAAATAAGAACAAGATGAGATATCCCTAGACATGGACTGTGGAATTAAATAAAGAACAATGACCCCCAGAGATTAAATAAAGAAGTTAAAAGTCTGTAATCGGCTATTGATTGGTGTTTAAAACAGGGTGAGCAATAACTGAGAACTAAATAAGAACAAGATGAGATATCCCTAGACATGGACTGTGGAACAAGAACAATCTGACCCCAGAGATTAAATAAAGTGTTCAGTTTGTAATTCCCCTCGGCTATTGATTGGTGGAAACAGGGTGAGCAATAACTGAGCAGTACTAAATAAGAACAAGATGAGATATCCCTAGACATGGACTGTGGAACAAGAACAATCTGACCCCCAGAGATTAAATAAAGTGTTCAGTCTGTAATTCCCCTCGGCTATTGATTGGTGGAAACAGGGTGAGAAATAACTGAGCAGTACTAAATAAGAACAAGATGAGATATCCCTAGACATGGACTGTGGAACAAGAACAATTTGACCCCAGAGATTAAATAAAGTGTTCAGTTTGTAATTCCCTCGGCTATTGATTGGTGGAAACAGGGTGAGCAATAACTGAGCAGTACTAAATAAGAACAAGATGAGATATCCCTAGACATGGACTGTGGAACAAGAACAATCTGACCCCCAGAGATTAAATAAAGTGTTCAGTCTGTAATTCCCCTCGGCTATTGATTGGTGGAAACAGGGTGAGCAATAACTGAGCAGTACTAAATAAGAACAAGATGAGATATCCCTAGACATGGACTGTGGAACAAGAACAATCTGACCCCCAGAGATTAAATAAAGAGTTCAGTTTGTAATTCCCCTCGGCTATTGATTGATGGAAACAGGGTGAGAAATAACTGAGCAGTACTAAATAAGAACAAGATGAGATATCCCTAGACATGGACTGTGGAACAAGAACAATCTGACCCCAGAGATTAAATAAAGTGTTCAGTCTGTAATTTCCCTCGGCTATTGATTGGTGGAAACAGGGTGAGCAATAACTGAGCAGTACTAAATAAGAACAAGATGAGATATCCCTAGACATGGACTGTGGAACAAGAACAATCTGACCCCCAGAGATTAAATAAAGTGTTCAGTCTGTAATTCCCCTCGGCTATTGATTGGTGGAAACAGGGTGAGAAATAACTGAGCAGTACTAAATAAGAACAAGATGAGATATCCCTAGACATGGACTGTGGAACAAGAACAATCTGACCCCCAGAGATTAAATAAAGAGTTCAGTCTGTAATTCCCCTCGGCTATTGATTGATGGAAACAGGGTGAGAAATAACTGAGCAGTACTAAATAAGAACAATATGAGATATCCCTAGACATGGACTGTGGAACAAGAACAATCTGACCCCCAGAGATTAAATAAAGAGTTCAGTTTGTAATTCCCCTCGGCTATTGATTGATGGAAACAGGGTGAGAAATAACTGAGCAGTACTAAATAAGAACAAGATTAGATATCCCTAGACATGGACTGTGGAACAATCTGACCCTCAGAGATTAAATAGTTCTGTTTGTAATTGTTCTGATGAACTTTTCGCTATGGTACCTTAAATTTATGAATTTAAGCGCAGTACTAGATTGGTGGTAAGGTTTCATCATTTTACAGTTGAAATGGCTCGATGTAACCGTAAGTTCTATACTAACAGTTTCTTCTCTCGTACTTCTAGATGGTGGAACTCTCTTCAAGCTTCTTGTTTCCCAGTTAACTTTGATATTCAAAAATTTTTTAAAAATTAAATTCAGAACAGACAGTCGAAATTTCTAGGGTACATAATGAGGAAAGAGGGCTTGGAAAATTTGTTACTCACAGGACAGACTGAAGACAATGCATAACCTACCTTGAGCAACTAAATTATGTTAAGGGAATACCGATGTGTATCTCAAGTGTTCATGTCGTGGGCAGCTTGGGAGGAACGGATAATACAACAATTCCTTATCATCAACTAACGTGAATACATGGAAATATCTCCTGGTGAATAGTTGTAGACAAATGTAATATTTTTTGTCTCTGTCTCTGTCTCTCTCTCTCTCTCTCTCTCTCTCTCTCTCTCTCTCTCTCTCTCTATCTATCTATCTATCTATCTATCTATCTCTGTGTGTCTTTTTCTTATCTCTCTCTTTGTCTCTGTCTCTCTTTGTCTCTCTCTTTCTCTGTTTTTCTCTTCCTCTGTCTCTCTATCTCTCTGTGTCTCTCTCTCTTTGTCTCTCTCTTTCTCTGTCTTTCTCTTGCTCTCTCTCTCTCTCTGTCTCTGTGTCTCTCTCTCTCTTTCTCTCTCTTTCTCTTTCTCTGTCTCTCTCTGTCTCTGTCTCTTTCTCTCTCTCTCTTGTCCCTGTTTCTCTTTGTCTCTCTCTTTCTCTCTCATACTGAATTAAGCGACCGTATTTTCTTGTTAAATTATATCCTTGAGTATGTATGATACAACCCGGTAAAGACAATTACACCTAATTTTTAAGGCGGAGGGGGGGGGGCTTTTAACTTGTACCATATTATACATCACTGTCACGTACATATATTTCACTACAATATTTAATTTTTCGTGATATTAAAGAATAGAAATAAACCAAATATTTAGCAATTTCGTGTTTCTTATATTTTTTTTTTTTCAAAATTTATTTTCGAGGAATGGTTTTAACGAGTCATACCCATTAATATATTTTATGCTGTTCATTAATCTTTTCACTTTGATATGACTTTATTATATTCGTATATAGTAATAAACTATGAAAATAAAAGAGAAATTGTCTTTTATTAAGAATGAAGAGAGAAATAAACATAGCCTACATATGAAATACCTTTTGGAAACAATTTTTATCAACACCTACCTACTTTGTGTTTCATTATCTGTTATGCTGAGTGTATTTGTCATCTTGTTTTGAAATAAGAGGTTTTTAGAAGTGGGGTAAAAATTATCCCTTATATATGTCCCTTAATAAATTTTGTCTTTTTGCTATTTCTCTTAAACCCTGTTCTACCATCCATTTACTCAAGTTCATTCTTCTTCTTCTATGAGCCATGTCATTTCAGAACATAGGCAATCACGGCCCTCCACATCTTCCTGTCCTTTGTAGCTCTTAATAAGTTTTGCCTTTTTGTTATTTCTCTTAAACCCTGTTCTACCATCCATTTACTCAAGTTCATTCTTCTTCTTCTATGAGCCATGTCATTTCAGGACATAGGCAATCACGGCCCTCCACATCTTCCTGTCCTTTGTAGCTCTTAATAAGTTTTGCCTTTTTGTTATTTCTCCTAAACCCTGTTCTACCATCCATTTACTCAAGTTCATTCTTCTTCTTCTATGAGCCATGTCATTTCAGAACATAGGCAATCACGACCCTCCACATCTTCCTGTCCTTTGTAGCTCTTAATAAGTTTTGCCTTTTTTGTTATTTCTCCTAAACCCTGTTCTACCATCCATTTACTCAAGTTCATTCTTCTTCTTCTATGAGCCATGTCATTTCAGGACATGGGCAATCACGGCCCTCCACATCTTCCTGTCCTTTGTAGCTCTTTATAAGTTTTGCCTTTTTGTTATTTCTCCTAAACCCTGTTCTACCATCCATTTACTCAAGTTCATTCTTCTTCTTCTATGAGCCATGTCATTTCAGAACATAGGCAATCACGACCCTCCACATCTTCCTGTCCTTTGTAGCTCTTAATAAGTTTTGCCTTTTTGTTATTTCTCCTAAACCCTGTTCTACCATCCATTTACTCAAGTTCATTCTTCTTCTTCTATGAGCCATGTCATTTCAGGACATAGGCAATCACGGCCCTCCACATCTTCCTGTCCTTTGTAGCTCTTAATAAGTTTTGCCTTTTTGTTATTTCTCCTAAACCCTGTTCTACCATCCATTTACTCAAGTTCATTCTTCTTCTTCTATGAGCCATGTCATTTCAGGACATGGGCAATCACGGCCCTCCACATCTTCCTGTCCTTTGTAGCTCTTTAATAAGTTTTGCCTTTTTGTTATTTCTCCTAAACCCCGTTCTATCATCCATTCACTCAAGCTCATCAAATATGTTTCACACTGCTTTCCTTTGTCCCTCAATCTGTCCTGTGAGTATTTGCCAATATATTAAACACCTTTTCTAAACGATTTTTATCAACACCTGCCTACTTTGTGTTTTGTTATCTATTGTGCTGAGTGTATTTGCAATCTTGTTTTTTGTTGTTTTTTTAAAAAAAATAAGAGGTTTTTTAGAAGCGGAGTAAAAACTTATGAAAACGTATACTTGTGTATAATACGGCTCCCCCACGTTTTGCTTTATTTCGTTCAAAATTTCTCGTATTATACACAAGAAAATAAGATAAGTAAATTACGATGTGTATATCTGAGATGTAAGTCATTGCGAGCCTGTGAGAAACTATGAATATCATTCCTTATAAACTAACGCGAGTACATAGAAATACATTTTCTCTAAGCGAAGTTGCAAAAAGAGCAAGATTGTTGACTAATTAAGCTATCCTCTGCATGAACGAATTAAAAACTAGATCTAATATATTGTGGAAATTATATTTAATAAGAAATTTAAATATTTATCTTTACTGTTTACAAATTTTTTTTTTTTTTTTTTTTTTAATCTACCAAAATGGAGAAAAATATTTCCCGTACTCGTGCAGATTCGAATAAAAAGATTTTTATCATGGCTGCTATTTTAAATTGAAGTGTTCCGTATGTTAAATCTCTTGTGTATTTTTTTCCTTCACGAAATATTATTGAACGCAAATCCGTTGTTATGGACAAGAAATGACAGCCGATAAAATGTGCTTCATGTTTTAAAAAATAATTTGATTTCCATGCTATATACTTGATTTTATTTGCACAAATCTCCATAATGTCATTCCAATTTTTTTTTATCATGTCGGATTTTTTTCCATTATCATATTTTTGTCTTTTCTCATATTATGCAGTACTTTTTTCTCTTACTTTTACATTTCATTCTTCGAAAATCTTCTGCAATATTTGTAAAGTCCACTGCTAACACTCAGGCTATGTTATCGTATCTGTATCATCCCTTATAGAAAGATCCCTAAAAATTCCTTTATCATCATCAGAGCTGTATCAACTTAAAGGCACAGTGAATATCACTCTGATTTCTTATCTTCAGCAACTTTTCACTTATCGGTTCTCTCAAAACATCTCATTTGGGGTCTAACTCGCGAAAGTGTTGCAGAGCCTTTTAACCTCCTCAAAGAATTGTCATTCTGGACACTTCCAACGCATTTTTTGTACACCCTATTCGAGCGTCTGTGTGACGTCTATTTGCCTGCAAGATTATGCATCTACAATTACCAGTCAACTGTGCACAGTTGTTGAGACTGCATTGACAAAAATCTCTTCAAAGGGAGCGATTCCTCGAGATAGTACCAATGCAACATTAGTACCATCTCGAGGAATCGCCCGGCCCGGCCCGGCCCGGCTTGGAATACCGTCTCGAGGAATCTGTCCCCCCCCCGCCCGGATTCGAATACCATCCCGAGGAATCTGTCCCATCCCCGCCCGGCTTAGAATACCGTCTCTAGGAATCTGTCCCACCCCCAAAGGGAGCGATTCCTCGAGATGGTACCAATGCAACATTAGTACCATCTCGAGGAATCCCTCCGCCCGGCTTGGAATACCGTTTCGAGGAATCTGTCCCACCCCCACCCGGCTTCGAATACCGTCTCGAGGAATCTGTTCCACCCCGCCCGGCTTCGAATACCATCCCGAGGGGTCTTTCCCACCATACTAATACCGTCATACAATAATTGTGCATGCTTTCGGTCTTGTGCCACATCTAAGCTACGCTTGGAAAATAACTACAATAATTGTGCATGTTCCCCTTCATTATTTCTTTAGTTCGCTCGACTGTTACTCCCCTACCAATAACTAATGAACTCTTCCGTTTTGATCGCGTAGAAACACAAGATATATCAGAGACGCTACTTGGTTTCAGTTGAAAAAAGTGTTTAACGTCTCCTGCCAATACTTCATAAAAATGAACTGTTTCGTTTTGATAGTGTGAGAAAACATATCAAAGACACTACTTAATTTCAGTGAGAAAATGAATGAATGAAGGGGGGGGATAAAAGTGTTTAATGTCTGTTTCAGTGAAATTGAAAAGATTGTCAATTTCAAATCTTTTCATTTGTATCTCCTTACTTAAAATAACGACCACCATTCATAGTTATGATTATTATTACAATATTTTGTTAAAGTTGTTAAGCTCAAATATTTAACGATGCAATAGGGGAATTTCTACGAATATTTTATTGTCGTAGGACTCGCCATGAGCTTATTCAATCATTAACTTAAGAATTAAGATTCGTCAGAAAATAGGAACACCGTGAAATTTTCAGGAATTAAAACTAGTCTCCGAATATTGTTACTCGATTCTTAACAATTCTGCGCCTTCTCTAACGGGTTCTTGTTTGAAATCTTTGTGCAGTCTTTGGAGATTTACTTCGAACGTCGACAATATAATGACACTTGTTTCATGGGCACATTAGATTCTGCTCCAATCTCGATATTCCAAGGAGAACCTTTCTTGTTTGAAAAACTAATCTTAAACTTGCTACTGTTAAATACCGCAAATGGTTTAAATAATTTAATATCGATTTTAACTTAAACTATTTTCTATTTATTGTGATTTCCCAAGCGTAGATTAGATATGGCACAAGGCCGAATAGGGCGCCCAGTGAGGATCGAACTCACTACTCAGTCGTAATTGTTCTAGCAAGACAAACTTGCTAACCATTACAATATTTATTTCTGTGCAATTTACAGAAAATATGGCACAAGGCCTAAAAAAAGGGGGGATGGGGAAAAGGACGGTCTTCATCTGTCTTAATTTTAAACTTAGCTATCCACAAGCACTGACCCAAACATACAAACAATATTCCTAACACCAAACCAAAACACCACATTCTTACTAAACTCTCTTAGTACATCCACCATAATACCTCATTGTCTCAATAGAAAAAAAACTAAATAGTCTCCATATGTACAAATCGTCGTATGTGGAGGGGGGGGGGTAAAACAACAAATTAAAAAGATCCCCAATGAGTATATACAATATGAATGAATCTATTTACAAGAAACTAAACAAAATCATTGTTAGTAATAAAAAAAAACCCACAATACTTAAATGTGGCAGAAACATCAGTTCACTGGACGAAATCAATGCGGGACTATAAAGATATAAAAAAAAAAACATTCATTCATCCCTAGCACTCACAAAGACACAACAACAAAAAACGAAAAAAAAAAAAAAACACTGGCGAAAAAACGAAAAGCACCCCGCATCCACCAGAGAAGAAACATCAATGACCACCAATGATTTTCTAAACACTGCTTAGATGTCGCACAAGGCCGAAAGCATGGGGCACCAAGTGAGGATTGAACTCAAGCTTGCTAACCATTACACCGCCCAGGGGTGCCCTCGTGGAATATTTATTTGATGCTTTGGCCATATCATCAGTGATGTTTTTTAGCCAAGGTTCATTAGAGTGTTTCGGGTCTTTCAACATCATAACCCCCCTCTCCACGGTGACCCAGCCGATACTGATCTGGTATCGACCTGTGTGTCATCCGTCAGCTACAACTTTCCTCATTTTTAATCAAACATGGAGACTACTTTTGGCAATTTAGAGTTCAATCACGGAAACTTCCGGTTCACCAGTAATCGACGCTCTTCCATAAAAAAGGAAGCAATCGCTGTAACGGTTTGAATCCGGTAAGGAACATGGCGACGCGCTCGTTTTGAACTGGTAAGTAACGATCATTGTTTCCATTTATTGAAATATATATATATATATATATATATATGAAACCGATTCTACTCGCTCTTATCTTATTTCCATTCATGTCAATCTTCCACTCAACAAAAAAAATAAAAATATAAGACCCTACTTATGTATGTATGGGAATACCGCTACCAATGAGTTTTCAACGCAAAACAGCCTAACCTCAGACAAATTTTAGTCTGAATTTGCAACGTTCATACTTTTTATCCGTCGGCAACATATAATTGAGACCTCGTTAAATGGGGCGAAGAATGGGTTGTAAATTTTAACGCTTTCGAAATTAAACTGCTCTATTAATTATCTGAGAGATCTCTTTCTGCCTTCCATCAGCATGGCTGATGCTAACCTCCAGGAGAATGACTTGTTTCACCTTTTCGGACTAACATGAAGTGGAAAGATTATATTGAATCCATTGCTGGTTCACTGTATCATGCTAGAATTTTTTTCTCTCTAGAATTTATCTTACATATGTCTACCATTCGTCCATGCTTAGAATATTGCTGCCACATATGGTCCGGTGCCCCTGGTAGTTCCTTGATAAAATTCGAGGGATCCGCCCTCCCAGCTTCTAATAACATTTCGAGGGATCCCGCCCAGCTTTTAATACCATTTTGAGGGATCCCGCTCAGCTTTTAGTACCACCTCGAGGGATCCCGCTCAGCTTTTAGTAGGGACCCTGCTCAGTTTTTTAGTACCACCTCGAGGGACCCCTGCTCAGCTTTTTTAGTACCACCTCGAGGGATCCCGCTCAGCTTTTAGTACCACCTCGAGGGACCCCGCTCAGCTTTTAGTACCACCTCGAGGGACCCCGCTCAGCTTTTAGTACCACCTCGAGGGACCCCGCTCAGCTTTTAGTACCACCTCGTGGGACCCCGCTCAGCTTTTAGTACCACCTCGAGGGACCCCGCTCAGCTTTTAATACCACCTCGTGGGATCCCGCTCAGCTTTTAATACCGCCTCGTGGGATCCCTCCTTGTACTTTTTCATTTAAAAAAATGAACACGAACCTAATGCCTTACGGATTTTTGCAACTACTCTTCTTACCGAAAGGAAAACAGACAAAGGTTCTTCGAAGGAAACCTCTCGGCAGTCGTAAGATGCACGGTAATTCTTGTAATCATTTTTTTTATGTGTCGTGTGTATTTAGGGTGTTGGCGGCGGTGATGGCTTTTCACAACTTCCTGTCCCTTGTAGCGCGAAGTAATGTTTGACTCTTTGCATCCCTCTTTGCTTTCAATATGCTATCCATTCATAAAATTGACAAGTAGCTTGCTAGCTCTCTCCCCTTCACTATTTCCTGTGAGTTTCAAATTTATCAAACCCACTTTCATCATGTAGTCGCTTTCCGAAAAATATTGGCGTCCTTTTTAGATCTCGTTAGTACAGAAAGCATGGCGCCTTCAGTGAGGTTCGAACTCACTACTCGGTCGTAATTGATCTCGGAGGAGACAAGCTCGCTAACCATTGCATCACGCCGAATTGACCCAACGCATATATAATGATTTTTTTTTTAAATCTACTAATTAAAAAATTCTTTACCTGTCGAGTACGAGAAATAGGGTTAGGAAATATATATTTCAAAATATTCCAAACTGAGGTGTGTATACTTGCTCAATTAGATAATTGCACTTTGCTTTATTGCAATGTCGTGAAAGGGAATACAGATTCGTTTCATGTCGCGCACGCCACTAAATAGATTTTCTGGAGAGATCTAATTTTGTATCTTATTACCTCTCCGTAAAGAAGTGGATCCCAAACCTCTCTGTTTAAATTCCAATGATCTGACCCCCCCCCCTCACACACACACACCACCACCAACAACAACAACAACTGATGTGTATCTCCGATCAAAAGTGTATCCAAGGAAAATAACCGAGATTAAGTTCGGCTCATTCAATGATAATGAAGTTTGTGTTGATGGATTGTTTTTTCGTTTTATGTTGACTCGGTCCGGCCTTTAGGAACGGGGTAAAAAAAAAAAGAAAGAAATAAGCCATGACATTTATTACGCGCACTGGTAATCATTCCTGACTTTTGTCCTCAGCCACATTGCTTGCTCACTACGCCCACGATAGACGATTAGATGAATGAAAGACATAGCCGGTGGGTTGAGGCAATCTTTGCTTTTCTCCGTGGCGGGGACAAGCGCATTAAACTTGATTGTATCGTATTTGCCCCCAGGGAGAAACAAATACCGTGTTATATATATATATATATATATATATAATATATATATATATATATAGTTTATGAAAAACTAGGTAATCCGTGTGGGTAAACCTAAGGAGGATAAAATCCAGAGAGCTCAATGTAAATCCAGAGCAAATAATTTAAATAAAAACAGACCACTTTAAGGTTCCATGTAATAAATTATTTCACCCCAGACACCGGGTTTAACACCAAAATTGTCCAAATTGTGTTAGCATAAATGGCCATCCCACAAAATGTTTAATATGTAAAAAAACACTACAGTAATGGCATTCCCTTTTTCTAGGTTTTCAGATAAGACGTTTAGCCATCTTGATACAATTTGTCATAAGAATAACTGAAAAAAGTTATTCAGCGAGAAAGAACAGGTTAAAATTGTTTTGTGCCAGCCCCCACTGTTTTCAATGGTGAGAGCAAAAACATCATTCAGGCCTTTAGTAATGGTACCAACATTCATACTCTGGCTTCCATCTTCAAAGTCCATTCAAGAACCATCAAGAGAATGATGAATAATTTTTAAAAAAGGGGAACAGTGGAGAGGAAAACTGGATCAAGAGATCACAACAGGAAGAGGGATCATCATTTCAACTTAGAGCTGAAGAGATCAATTAGAAAAGATCCAACTCAGTCCATAAGACGTTTGGCATGTTATAGTTCAAATGACAGTCCAAAGAGCAGTGAAAAGAGATTTGAAAATGAAACCGCACGTGAAACATGTGAGGTAATTTATTACACCAGG